TAAGTCGCCCCAAGTCCCGCTCTCTCTCTCTCGGAGAAGGAGGAGGAACAGGAGGAGGAACAGGAGACCAGGCCAAATGCCCAGGCCTTCCTCTCTCTCTCATCCCTTCCTGCGAGAACCAGCGCGTCACGTACCACGCGTCACCTGCCGAGAGGTGTCGTCCGGCCGGACGGGAGCCGTCGCGGGCCGGAGGGTGTCACGGGGAACTCCAATAGGAGCAATCCATGATTTATTCTCCCCGGGGACGGAATACAGACTACGGTGCAGTTCCAATGAAAATGCCAAGATGCTCGAGGGCGCCGTGCCATCGGAACACCGGGCAGGCAGCTACTCATCTATCTGATGGCCGGTTGGGTCGAGATAGGCCCCCGGTGCGCTACGTTGGCTTTTTCCCTTCGTGCTTGCCCAAGCGCTATCAAGGCTATACGGCAAAGGATGCTATTTCGCATACCTAGCGATGCGTGTGTCCAGGGTAGTGGGTATTCCCTGAACCCTCGAGAGTTGCCGGTTAAGTAAGTAGCTATCGGCGAATTCTACGGAATCGAATTCAGTGGACATGGGCCTGCCATCTATTATATTCTGACATGTCACTCAAAATAATGGCGACTTAACGACCGAATAGAACGAGATTAAAGCAAACACACAGTTGAAAATGGATCTTGTTCTCGTAAAAATGCGTGATCTAGCGTCTAGCATCTAATCTAAATATCGCGCCAGATCTTTCTAATCTATAGGGGAATCGTGATCGTAAAAAAGTGCCCATCTACATCCAATGGGCTGGTATCTCGCGTCCAACAGTAAATGTGCCACAGTGCAAGGGCCGACACACTCATAGTGGTCGACTCAAGCCAGCTATTCAAATTCTCACTGACTCAAAAGCACGCACAGCATAAAACCTGCCGGGTCCACTTCTCAGAAAAAGAACTAATCTCAGTCCGACGACGACGGGGTGCCGAGGACACCGCCCTCCTTCTCGAGGTGGTCGATGCGGGCCTCCTCGTCCTGGACGGCGAAGCCGTACTCGCGGGCCTTCTCCTGGACCTCGGCCTCGTCGAGGTGGGGCAGCTCCTTGGCCGCGGTCACGTAGCTCTGCTGGTGGGCGTAGCCCTTGGCGAAGATGACGTCGATCTCCTCGAGCGTGCGCCCGGCCGTCTCGGGGTAGAAGAGGTAGAGGATGGGGAAGAAGCAGGCGTTGAGGATGGCGAAGAAGAGGTAGGTGCCCCAGCCCGAGGTGCCCGTGTGGGACACGAGCACGGGCGTGATCATGACGATGAAGAAGTTCCAGAGCCAGTTGGACACGGTCGAGGTCGCGTTGGCCTTGGACCGCGTCTTGAGCGGGTTGATCTCGGCCGGGTACAGCCACGGCAGCGGCAGCCACGTCGCGCCGAAGAAGGCGATGTACGTGAACAGGCCCACCGCCGCGCCCTTGGCCGCGCTCGTCGTGCCCGGGATCAGCGCGCCGAAGGTCAGCACCATGGACAGGCACTGGCCCACGGTGCCGATGAGGAAGAGCTTGCGGCGGCCGACCCGCTCGACGGCGAACCAGGACGTGGTGGCGAAGATGGCGTAGATGATCATGTTGACGCCGCCCAGGAGCAGCGCCAGGTTGTGCGACGTCCCGATCGACGTCTGGAACAGGATGGGGAAGTAGTAGATGACGGCGTTGCAGCCCGACAGCTGCTGCATCATCTGCGAGCCGGCGCCGAGGAGCATGCGGCGGAAGTGCTGGGTGGGGCCGCCGGTAGTCAGATCCTTGTACTTGGTCTGGCCTGCGCCGGCAACGCGGATGGCATCGTTAATGAAGGTCATCTGCGTCGTGATGTCCTCGTCTTGCCGGTGCTTGCCGTTCAGCGCTGCCAAGACTGTCGAAGCTTCTTCATGGCGTTCCTTCGTCAGTAGCCAGCGAGGCGACTCCGGCAGATTCAGCATCAGGATGATGACGACCAGGGCGAAGAAGCACTGGAATGCGATGGGAAATCGCCAGGTGAAGGCATGCGGCCCATAGGTACATCCATAGTCGATCCAGTAAGCAATAACCGTCCCAATGGCAACGTTTCCGCCCTCGATGCAGATAAGCTTGCCTCGGTTGTGTGAGTGAGAGCATCTGTAAGGTAGTTAGCAACGAGAAGTACGGAAGACGTGGGAAAAGGAGGATGCGTACTCGGCTTGCCACGTCGGTATCGTAGAGGTGTTTATGCCATTTCCTATACCCGTGATACACCGGCCAATGATGAACTGAGCCGTTGCGCCTTGCGAGACCGGGACGGTGCAGAGCTGTATAATGACACCAATGATCATGACAGTAGCGCCCAGGAAGATGGATTTGCGGCGACCCAGTTTGTCGCCGAAGGTGAGGATGAAGCATGCGCCGAGGAAGCAGCCGACGGCGTAGATGGACGTGACGAAGCCCTGGTAGGTGCTGTCTCCGTCCACCTCGGGGAAATCGGCAACGAAGGCGGGGGCATCTATAATGCCAGACATAACTCCCTGGTCGTAGCCGAACAGCAGGAAGTCGGTCGTAGCAACGGCCGTGATCAACATCTGCAGCTTCTTGCCAGACGCGCCCCAGAAGGTGGGCACGCCGGCCTCGTTGTCCTTGTGTCCCATGGTGCTCGCGCGATCCGTAGCAGGATGATCAGAGCAGAGGCGGGATGAAGAGGGGGATGGGGAGAAGAGGATGGGAGAGACAACACAGGAACTCCAGACATCTGGGGGCGGGAGAGCCTTCAAGTAGCCCTCCAGGGCCCTCCGCAGATTCAGTAGATCGAAGGGGAAGGGTCCTGGGGTCGAAGTTTGGGCAAAGTACCTAGGTATGGATGCCACCGAGTAATGGCCGAAAAGACGTCATGTTGGTCCCCTTGAGGGGCGCCAGTCGCGACGAGGCTACTTAGCGGGGGGGCCACCGCACGCGAGGAAGAGAGCCTTCGCAGTGCTTACCTACAGCGATAGTCGAGCACATGAGAAGAGACACGCGCTAGAGGCTGAGAATGGGAAAAAAGTCTGATATGCAAGTGCCAGGAGGCGACGACTGCACTCTCTCCGTCTCCAGCCGTCTCCTCGTCGGTTCGTCATGGTTCCACCGGCCGCTCCACCGACGAGGGCGCGACGGCGGAACCCGGAGGGCGGAGGGATGGAACGATGAGCTGATCTGACTCGCCCGGCGGTGGAGCGCGGCTCCTGGGCCCTCAGCCTGATCATTATACGCGCCCGTACGATGTATACATTCATGTGACCATGCGGCTGTTGCCCGACGTCGTCGCTATCGCTTGACGCGGTTGTGCCGCTTCGTGCCCACGGCTGGGCCACGGGGCTGGGGAACGGGGCCCTTCTCGGCCCAACCCCTTTACCGCCCGCAGCAGCGTCTTGACGGCCGTCTCTTGGCCGGCCCGGCGGTTTCGGGGCCGCCGCTACCTTGAGAGCCTCATCGGTCTCTCCCCGCCAGCCATGTGCGGCGGAGGCGGTGAGGCTGGGGCGGCTGCTGATAGTAGCCCTCGGAAGCGCGCTCTGCTCTTCTGTCGCGCAAGGAGTCATGCAGTGGCGCGCCGATATATTCAGGTGGCAAAGGTTCCGAATCAAGCAAAGGCCTAGATTGCATGGAACTCAATTTGCCGCTAGATCCCGGGTCTTGCGGCTGCCACTTGTCGTGGACTGGAGATATAAGTCAGGAGTCCCCGACTTGACTCTGGAGAAGGTCCCTCTGCCCCTGGGGTCCTCCGCGAGAGTCGGGGTTTGAGATTCATGAGGCTCGCAGCTTGGACCATCGAAAAAAAGAAAAAAAGATGCTGGCCCTTCTACACGTGGTCGCCCTATGCCGGGAATAGAAAGCGACAGGGATTGCGCCATCAATTAAGGTGAGGCTTTGCGCCGATAAGCAGATAAGGCCGAGCCAGACGCAAGCCAAGAGAGATTTGGTGGGGACTTTACAAAGCTCGATCCACCACGCCTGAGCCGCAACTCTCCAGCGCCGAAGGAGGGCTGGGAGGGGAGACGCAGCTACGTTTCTTATCAACAGAGAGGGTTCGATGTGGTATCAGATGTGCAGATGTAACGCGGTATGGGGACCTTCGTCGTCATCGGCGCCGCAAGGCATCGCCAAGCCAACAACACCTGTCTTCTGATGAGTGTTGATGGCCTGGCTCGCTCGCAGTCAGTCTCCAGGTGCTTCACCGTCTGTATAAGCTCCTGATATGCCGATATCTTAGCGCATTCGCGATAAACGACGGCCTCAGCATGGTGAACTCGCTAGTACAGATCCGTGGAAGTAGGGATACCTAAAGCAGCCACTCTACCCGAGACCCTTCCACGACGGCAACCTAGCTCCCGTCAGCTCCCGTCGCGTTGCCGCAAGTGTGCCTTTTCAATTTTCGAAAAACGAATTCAGATTCTGATCGATTTCTGATCGATTTCTGGCATCTTTCGCGGCGTGCGCCGGCACGACGGCACCGGGCCAAGACCAGCATCGTGCGCTCTCTACGTAATAATGCCTACCGCGCTGCAGGGCCGGCCCCAGGCGGGGAGCCGTCGTCATTCTGGAGAGAGGGGTCGCGAGTCGGGGCTTCTCCGGGATCCAAGAGAACCCCGGTGGAGCGCCCGCCGACCCTGCATCACAACCGCGGCCAGTCAAAAGGCAGCCACGCACAGATGGATGGGGGGCAGGCGGGGAATGGGGGAGAACTGGGGGATGAAGGACAGTTGGGGGGTCCTCACGGCTCCGAATATGCGCCGGTAGTGGCATCAGCGAGACAGCAACCTGAACAACGCATCTCTTGGCTTCATCTCTCCAGAGGAGGTCGATGGAGGAGAGTAGGACGAGTGGAGCACCATGTATTTTCTTTTGTACCTTGTAAACCTTACCACGACACGATGTCGTCTCCACCCACACCACATTCGGGGACTTGACTCCGACGACAAACCGCACTGATTGGCTGTGACCGGTACACTCTGCGCTAATGAGTATAGTGTTGGATAAGGCACGAACTTTTCATCAATCCTGCGAAAAACTCCCAATAGCTCAGTTGGTTTAGAGCGTTCGGCTGTAATTGAAAATGTCCCCTTGTGGGAGTTGCCACCGAAAGGTCACCTGTTCGACTCAGGTTTGGGAGAGCAGACCGATCCTCAGTGTAGCCCAGCTACATGTTCTTTTGCGAGTGTCTCTTTGCCGAGGTAGCTCAGTGGTAGAGCAGCGGACTGCAGTTCCGAAGGTCACCAGTTCAAACCTGGTTCTCGGCTTCCTCTTCTTTTTTCTATTTCTCACTTTTTTCTTCCTCTTTGTCATCTTTTTTTCCCGTTTCTCCCATTTCTTCCGTTGATCCTCTATACGGTGCAGTGCCAATGAGAATCCCGTGCGCCTTTGAGCTAGTTTTCCGTCACGTGATTTGTAGCTTGACTGGCTGCATGATATACAACAAACAACTCTTCTCTGTCTTCTCCTTTTCACAACCCAGGGCAACCAACGTATGCATTCTATCAAGCACAAACTTGAGGCAATGCTTCTCTGTGCGCCGACTGCTCCACCGGCATTCACTTCTTCAGCTGTGGCTCTACTGTGCAGTGCTTTCCATCCAGCTCAATCTCCTGGCAGCCTGCAGGTAGCAGCAGAACAAAAGAGGCAAGGGTCCTTCAGTCCAGGCCGATTTGCAACGGAGACCTGGGAATGAGCATCTGGAATTTTAGGGCCATTACGATGCCTGTCAGGCCGTCACCGCGAGAGAAGGTATGGAAGCAAAGCAGTGGAGGTTCAGTAGCAGTGGTACCTATCGGTGCAATATGTGTAGGCATCTTGCTTGGTTCCATTCATGTTGTTCCCGAGAGATGGAGACGTCGAGCTTAGCATGTGCGACCTTGCAGGTCGCGTGCCATGGGAGACCATAGGTAAAGTACAACCCAACATGGGATTTATCTGTGCTATCTCGACCCTCGGTCTGTTTGAGTAGACGGCGCATTGTCAAACACGTTGACTCCTCCTCTGCCATGTAACTATCCGCCGATTCCTCCCGGCAAGCTGGCGAAGCACGTCTGCTGGGTGCTGTTCCAGCAGGTTAGGAATCCGTCGACGGCCTGGACGAGAATCTCTGCTCGCGAAGAAGAAGAAACAGAAGAAAACAGAAGAGTCAGCCGCGATATCCAGAGACTGTTCGTAGTAGGTAGGTAGAGCCTAGCAGCCCGGTTCGAATGCGGAAAAACGTACCGGTGTCCACCTCAGCGTACTGCAGCGGCGCGTTCTTGCCGAACATCTTGCAGTTGCACGCGAGCACCGTCATGTTCTGGCCCGTGAGGCGGCAGTCCTGGCAGCTGGAGTCGAAGTGTCCACTGCGGCCGTCGGTGCCGTGTCAGTTTGCAATAAATCACCCTCTGCATATTCGAGTAGGTAGGTAGGTATATGGCAAAGCTGAGTAGGTAGGCAGGCACGTAGTTAACTTACTTGATCGTGGGGACGAGGTGGCCGTTGGAGTTCTGGTAGCAGTAGCCGAGGTCCAGCTTGGTGCACACCTGCTGGCCGTCCGGGCCGGGACACATGGTGCTCAGCGTCGGCACGCCCTCGAGCAGGTTGAACTGGCCGTCGCCGCCGACGCTGCAGGTTGAGCGCCACTCGGCCGCGGCCGGGACAATGGCCAGTGCCAAGCCGACGACGGCGGCGGTGGTGTTGGTGGTCTTCATCATCATCTTCATTGCTCTCAAGTGTCGCGGAGAGGGTGTGCTTGTTGGCGGCGCGGTGGAGATTGCGACGGTTTGCGAAAGATAGGTGGGCACCTTAGGTGTTGGATGGTGGAAGATGAAGGTGCAGGTGAAGGCGATGGTGGTGGGCGTGCTGCTAAGCTTGAGGTTGCCATGCGTTGCGGTGGGCGTCGGACAACAACAGTAAACGCCAACAGTACTTGGGAGGGCCACGGCGACGCATCGTGTACGTTGGAAAATATGTACTTGCAGTGTCCAGGTCGAACCGTAGAATTTTCTGGGTAACTAGCACATTCTCATGCTGACCAGCCCAGAACCTCAACCTCCCAGGTCTTGAACAACACACTGCCCGCATCCTTCTTTGCAAAAAATGGTCCAGATATCGGGCATGTGTAGTGGCAACGCCTCTTCTTGATGTAAGTAGACATTCGGACAATGAGTATTACCGGTACACTTCCCTGTCGCTAGTAGCCTACCTGGCTCCCTTCAGATCAAGCAGACCTACACCTCATATACTTATCCAGGTAGTTGTTGCTCGGCTCTTTCCTCTGCCTCCAGGACAGTGCTCAGTTAGGCAGCTTCGTAACGAGACAGAAGTTACCATCAACTTCAGCTTCACCAATTCGCCGTCCTCTGGCTTCACCAATCAGCCGTCCTTTGGCTTCTCCGGGCCATCGCTCATTTGTCACAAGCCACTCTCGCATGGATACCGGTGGTGTCGTTCTCGGTCAGTGGGTCTTCTGAGACAGGCGGTGGCGTTTTTACGAGAGCCATAGGCTGCCGGTGTTCTTATTTGTCAGTTGTCAGTCCTATAAGCCCGTCGATGAATTGGTGGTCAGCTAGGCACCTGCATAGTACAGAGTGACGCGCTGGCTCAAGCCCATGTGTCAAGGTTACTCCAGGACGGACTGGTCGAATGACGAGTTGCATTGGCATAGACGCGGGTAACGTTAGATTCTGAATACACGAAGCCAAATCTACCTCTATGAGATAGCGACAGCTGTCGATCTCCACGTACTGCAACCGCCTAGGTACTAAGTTGACTTGATGTACTTGGCGCGATACCTCAGTTGGCATCGTACCTGTCTGTTAAACTTAGAGGACTAAAGTCTGCGAGCAGCAGCCCCATATCTAATATTAGATCAAAATATCCACGCGATACCCCTAACGCGTTACTTTTTAATAAAACAACTAATTCATTATAGATTTGCGTTAATTCGGTATTATCGTAAGCGGGAATTGCGGCCCTAACTGCGAATTCACTCCCGAAAAGCGTGCGGTTATTATGGCGGCTAAGGCAGCGGGATTTAGCCGGAAGGATATTATACGCGCTTTCGGAACGCGTTAAACCCAAACCATTACCGACGTTATTAACCGCGTTATTACTAATAAAGGAGTGGAATCAGCACCTAAAAAAGGACGTCTCGAGGCTTTAAGCACCCGGGAAAAAGCTTAGTTATATACTACTATTTGGGAGTACCCTAGAGAAATATAGCTTAAAACTAAAAAGCGTGCCCGTTTCCTTTATAGTATTAAAACCATAAAGCGGGTATGCTAGCGAAAAGGCCTCCGTAAGTGGCGTGCGGTTAAGCGAATCGAGTTATTAAAAGAAAACGCTTAAAAAAGACTCGAATTTGCCCAGAGATATACCACACCGGAGGGGCTAAAGGAGCTTTTTTATACGCTGTTTTCTAACAAATATACGGTTTAAAATTATCCGGATAAGCTAAGCGATTAGGTTATCCGTTATTCTTATAAACGCTACCGACGGGATCTTATAAACCCGGTCTCTTACGTAAGGCTAAGAATTTCCATTATAATTTAGGGGATAATATGGTAACGCGCTCGAGAAGGCGGCTTATTAAACCTGGTATTCCCCGAGGGAGACCCGGACTTTATACGCGGAGGAGTAACCGCAGAGTTATATAAAAGGGTTCTCGAGGAAGGCCTGCTTCCGCTTTACAAGGCTGGGAACCCCTTTATAAAGGATAATACCCGGATTTATTACGCAGAGAGCGTACGAGAATGGTATTAGCGGCACGGTATTTAGCGGATTAATTAGCCACCTTATAGCCCGGATTTAAACCTTATCGAGTATATCTGGGCACTTTTAAAAAAAGAGATACGTAAATTAAAGCCCAAATTTAGTCTTCTAAAGCAAAATATCCCGGATATAGCCTACGCAAAGGAGTTAATCTAAAAAGCGTGGTTTAATATCGACCTGGGTATAATGGTAACGTTAATTAAGAGTTTAAAAAATCGGCTACTCGCAGTAATACGTGCAAAGGGGTAATATACGCATTTTTAAGCGCTTTATATTACGATACTTTTTATAGCTTTATTAAACGCGGAATGGTTAATTTATATGACTTTAAAAAAGGGGTGGTGGTGACCGCGGGGGGTCCACTTTGGCTAGTGCTCGCAGACTTTGGTCCTATGACTATAACAAATGGACACCTAATTCGCGGCCAAAAGCAGACCTCAATGGTGTGGACTCCGTCGCTAAGATGCAAAAGTGATAGACGAACGTGAGTGCCTGTTTGTGCCATTATCTCCTTTAAGCCTTCTTTTTGCCTTCTATCCGCTTCGCAGAACTGCCACAACCTCCTACTTTTTGGAAAATCTCGTGTTCAGTACCATTTGCCCAATGACAGCGGTCATACGGAAGGCAAAGCAGGATGGCCTCCAAGCTTCGTTCCGATGGCACCACCACGTGGAACATACCCTGATGACTCTCTCGGTGGACTCTTCGAGACCGTCCGCATCCCGAGAACGACGTGTGTGGCTGCATCTTATGCTTGGCTTCAGCGCAGAAGCAGATTCCCTGATCCAATACAATGCCGGTGACTACTAGTCTACAAAAGTCCTACAGAGCCACAATGAAGGCTCATTAAGCATACAGATGTCAGATGTACGTGTGCTTCCCCAGGTAAGTCAGACGACAACCAAGGTCGGTAGCTTATAATTACCCTAGGGCTGCAACGTTGCAAACGGCTGCAGGGTCCCGGTATCCGAGAATCCGGAAAGCCCCAAAAAAGGGGGGAAGGGGTTCAGTTCCGGGTGAGTTGCGGCTAAGAAAAGCGCCTTGACGCCGGTAATTGGGCCATGCGAATTGCTAAAATCAACCTCAGCGGCCGCGTGGCGCACGCCGGCCGGACCAAATGGCACGCGGCCGCTAGGTCTTTTTTTTTTCTCTTTGCACCGCGATGAAGGACCCGAAGGCTGCCGTCCTACCTCCGATGCGGCGTCAGCTTACCTCGTACGTTTACGACGTAGTCCGCAAAGATGGTCCAATCTCGCCTACCGAGCCTCCGGGGGAGCAGGGATGCGGGGGGGAAGCTATGGAAGCTTCTGCCCCTGAAGTGTGGCTTGCCAATAGGTACCGTACGCATGGAGGAAGACACGGGATTCCGATTGGCCCCTATCCCATCTCATCTCATACTATCCTCTCATCCCATCCCATGGACGCGGCGGCGGCGGCGGCGGAAGAAGTCAGGCTGCCGCCGTCCGCGTCCAATCTCACGACGACAACGCAACAAGGGGGCGCAGCAGCA